GTGAACACCGTCGCACCACCCAGTCTATCGAACAAGTCTACCATTAGCGGAATAGGATACTTGTTCTTCACGGTGATTTTGTTGAGAGCCCGATAATCCACACAGAGTCGCAGGCTGCCATCATGTTTCTTTTGAAATAGAACAGGGGACCTGTATGGGGACTTGGAGGGCACAATGATCCACGTGTCTAGTATTTCCGTCAATTGTCTCCGAAGCTCGATGAGTTCGGGTTGTGACATTCTGTAAGGTGCCCGGGCGAGTGGCTTCGCGCCCGGCACCAACTCAATTTCATGGTGCACAGTGCGCCTAGACGGGAGTCGCTTTGGCATGTCTTGTGGCATGACATCTTCAAACTCCAGTAGTAGCTCCTTCACGGGTGCAGGAATGGGACCCAAGGAGCGTTCTATATCTTAAATGCAGAGGGTTGCATGGAGCGTAGGTTCATGTCTTTTGACCCCCCTTCTTCAACTGCAAGACTGAGATGTTCTCAACTGCCATCTTCATGGGCATGCACGGGATAATGCAAAGCTTGGCCCTGTTTGTTCCCATCATCAGTGACATGTCTGCATATGGCACGGGCGTGGTATTGGTTTGACCTAGGAATTCCAAACCAACTATCAACTCGAAGTCATCTATGATCACCACTCGCAGGTTGAATTTTCCTTTGTATGGCCCAAGTTTCACTGGTACCTCTTTGGCTATTCCACCCACTGGCTGAGGAGGTGAGTTGATAGCCTTGACACGAACTCTAACCTTTCCTACAACTAGACCAAGGCACTTCACCTGAGTAGAGGCTAAGTAGTTATGGGTAGCACCCGTGTCTATCATCGCCCGAGTGGGATTTCCATTCACCTTCATCTCGACGAATATCAAGGTCCTATCTTGTTTAAGAGGAGTCCCCTCATCCGCCTTCTTTTCCCCTTTCTTGGTAATTGGACATGGGTCCTTCTTCTTACAAATACCAGCACTGGTCTCCGCTAATGCCTCAGAAATAGAGCCAACAATTGCATTGAAGGCACCTACTGGTTCAGTCTGGTCCGCATCCTCTGAGTCGTCATCGGTCCCATCATCAAAAGCTTGATGGGCGTTCATCTGTGAATGTGGAATTCATTGTTCCAATGTGGTCCGCCGCAATGACGGTATCCTGAAGGAGGCTTTCTCCCCCGATCATTGTTGTTTGACGCAGCACTATTGTTTCCTGAGGAGGGAGCCTTAGATTTGGTCGCACTCCGATTTTCCCTACTTCTGCTAGGGCCACCATTGCTAGGCTGGCTCCCTTTATATCTCGCTCGGGAAGGCAGTTGAGGCCTATCCTTCTGAGCTTCCACTTGATAGTCCCCAAGGCATTCGGCTGCTTGGATCGCCTTAGGTAGGGTATCTACCCTTTGTCTTTGCAGCTCCATACGGGCATAAGGTTTCAACCCTTCCAAGAAGGTGAAAAGCTTGTCTTTGTCCTCCCATGTCACGTATGTTTAGCATGAGCGCGGAGAATTACCACACGTAATTCCGCACTGATTTGGTTTGGCGGAGCTCTCGTAACTTTCTCCTTGCGTCGTATTCAACATTTTCGGGGAACAATTGTAGGCGTATGGCTGCCTTTAGTTCTATCCATGTCTCGAGAGCATCTTCACTAGCTCTGATGGCTTCGTACTTCACCCACCACCAGAGTTTAGCATCACCCTAAAGATACATGGCATCAGTTGCTACCTTTTAAGCTTCTTCTAGGCCCCCAACGGCATCGAAGTACTATTCGATGTCAAAGATAAAGTTTTCCACTTCCTTGGCATTCTAGCTCCATTGTATTGCTTTGGCTCAGGAATTTTCAGTTTTTGTGTCGCGGAAGCGATGTTCACAACACCCCCGATTTGGTTTCCACCTCCTCGAAGCAGGCCCTATAAAGCCGCATTGACAACATTGAGCTGGCCTGTCAAGTTGTCTATAGTTTGTTGCATGACAGTCACCCTGTCTGCCTCTTGTGCCCTGTAGGCTAAATCCTCAGCACGCACCTATTGGAGGCCCTCGAATTTGCCAAAAATTTTGGCTGCCTCTGTGGCTGCCTTTTGCCGATCTCCCTTAGAGTCGCGACTGATGTTTCCTATGTCAACTTCGGCCTGGAGCACTATACGGTCCAGGTCGTCCAACCTTTGCACTAGGCTGGTTCTTAGTTCAGGCACTGTATCCACGATGGGTCGTAATACGTCAACCGTCTCTTCAAGGGTCGCAATGCGGTTCCCATGATTCACCATGGTCAGAAATGGTGGTAATGGAAATGCGTTCCCTCGTTCGATGTCGAGCCTAGGCTCTGATACCAACTGTTACGTGGCGCCTTCCTGAGATTCCTTGGAAGGGCGACGTAAGGCTAAGCAACTGATGTCAGTGCAGTTACTGTCCTCCAACTGAGGTCGCCTCCGTACTCTAGACGAGATTGTTAGTGCCATATGGGAAAATCAATGTCAAGAGCAATTGAGAGAACAAAAATGAGAATCGAGAATGAAAGAAAGCTTGATTGCATTAACGAAAGCTATTACAGAAAAGCAACATGGTGTTGAGGGGGAGAGACACCAGTACAGAGAATTGTTTGCTTGCTTGATTCCCCCTACCAGTGCTTAAAAAAATAAACCAAAGTTACAAGACTAGACTTGACTAAGCTAGAGAAACATAATGGAAGTACGTGAAATAAAACTACTCTATATTTACAATGAAAAGGACTTTATTTTCTACAAGGCAGAAACATGTATGTTGTCAGCAAAATTGTCTTTGGCATCACGGTCTGCGCGCGCGGCGTTGTCCGTCGGCATCTGCCTGCGGTTGGGTGCTGGCGAGGGATATCGGTGGGCGACAGAGGCACATGTGCGCTTGTCACTTGGCACAGCCAAGACCACGGGGTCGTCCGTGGCGCTAGGCGTTGGGAGGCTTGCTAGGACGCCATGGGGCACGCCCAAGGGGTCATGGGGCATGGCTAGAAAGCCGCCCATGACAGTTCATGTGCTAATTTTACCACTAGGGGTGTCAAATGGACTGATTTTGGGTGGGTAAAAATAGACTAAATCAATAAATGGGCAGGTGAATGATCCGTCCAAAAGTTACTTTGATTGAGATGGACTGGATGAAAATGGACGAGAATTTGGGTTATACCCCAACTCATCCAACTCTTACCAAGCTTTAATAGATATGTGTTGTTTTCTTATGAATTGTTTAGTTATAAAGTAAGATTTTTTTCCTATTGTTATGGTCATATATAACATATCAAATACAAAAAGAATTATTTTTAAGATATTTTAGCAAAATTACTCATGGATCAATTTGGGTTAAAAATCAACCCAATTTTAGATGAGTGATGCGCTGGATCAAGATGGGTGAGTTCAACAAATGAACGGGACAATGACCGGCCCACCCTTAAACGCGAACGGGTTAAATGGGTTTGGGTCAAATTACCACTCCTATTTACCACCCATATTTGGACATTAAAGAAGTCACCTCAGTAGTTCTCTCCAAATATCTCTTTTATCGTCCGAAAACAAACCAAGGGAAAGAATCACTTTCATTTTCTCATTTTGTTGATCGTTTCAATTTTTTCTTCTTTTCCTACGTACTTCCCACAGAAATTAAAGAAATAAATTAACAAAAAGGGCGTGACGTGTTCTTATAATTTGCTCTAAAGGAATAATTACAGATCTAATGAAGCATTGATTATTAAAGGGAAATCATAAATTGGACTTAAGAAAAGATACAAGAGAGTTGTTTAATAGTAGATTGGATCGGCCCTATCACCTAACTTTGATCTATATTTATTCTGTTCATACAACACAAACCTGTCTCAATTAAGTGATACAAGTCTTAGCAGTATAAAGAAATGGACCCAAGAAAAAATTAAGTCAAATAAACTAAAATTAGTCCAAGAACGTGTCACGATAAACTTCTCTTTGGTCATTAACCCAAAAAAAAAATCTCTTTTGTCTACTTATAATATCATTCTTATATGGTTCGATAATTCAAGATTAGCTTTACAAAAACCACATCTTTCCAATTTCTTGGCAGTTTATGACATTAATAATCTTAATTTTAGCAAATAAATTCCATAGGTTGAGAGACTGTAAAGTCAACCAGCATCCTTATCTTCTTATGTGTACCCATATAAATAAATAAATCAAGGGGGAAGTTGCATTTTGGTAAATCTTAGTCCATTATTGACATTAACGAAGTCGAAGTACACCTCATATTTTTCAAGTAAATTTAAGAACCACTTTGACTTTTAAGTTTATGACAATTAATCTTAGCTCAACAGTCGATCAAGGTCAATTTTGAAAGAATGTCTCAAGTCGAATCGTTTTTTGGAACTGAGACATTGTTGTTGTTGTTTCAATTTTAAGTTAAATGTCAATATGAATTAGCAATTATTTTTGCTTGAAAAAACAAAAGCTATTACTGACTGTCAAACGTAGCTCAAGGCATACGTTTCCTTTCTTAACTTCCAATTGAACTTCCCAGCTAGAAAATACAACACTTTACTTCTTCTTTCTCATTGCAAGATTCCTTTTCGATCTACTGATATTCTATAATATTCATAGGGTTTAAAGATTACGAGACCGCTTTATAGCTATTACAGTCAAATCTCTTTATAATGACATCGTTTGTCCGAATATTATTTGACTGCTATCGCAAGAATAACCCAGTGCATTAAGCTCCCGCTATACGCGTAGTTCGGGGAAGGATCGGACCACAAGTGTTGTATATATATATATATATATATATATATGTGTGTTCTCCAAAGAAAATTTAACAATTGTTTATGAATATCGAGTAGTAGAAGCTAATTAATTAGTTAATGCGTAATCTCCAAAACTAAAGCATACGAAGATATAGACAACTAACATTGACACATGGGCTTAAGCTGAACACGCAACAATGAAAATAAAATACTACACAAATACTTGGCATATACTTATCAGGATATTCCTTCACGACGTGTTTTGTTTGCCTATAAATTGATCTACAACTATCAAATTCTAACAATACCAAAAATATATTTTCTTTTCATTTCTCATCCTAAAAGAAAGAACAACAAAGCTTTGAAGCAACTTCAAAAGTTGAGTGAAGGAGGAAGCTAGAAAATGATGAAACCTCAAAAATCATTATTGATCAAGATTTTCGTTGTACAATGCTTGTTAGTTCTTTGTGTTGCACAACAGGACTTTGATTTCTTCTACTTTGTTCAACAGGTAAGTCCCTAACTTTGGTTTGTAGTTGGCAGAGCCAGGATTTAAAGTTTATGAGTTCTGAATTCACAATCGAGCCCATAGCTCGTTAGTTATACATATAGATTTTTCAGTACAAATACAATATCTAAGCAAAAAGCTACTGAGTTCGTCCGAACCCGTAGGTAACACTCTCCCTCCGCTCCCGGTAGTCGGACTTTAACTTCTATACATTGAAGCTATGTACGGAAAAAATAATACTCCGTACACAAGGTAAAAACCGAACCTTTTAATTATATATAAACTGTTGAATCCCCTTACCATAAGAAAAGATCAATTCTAATGAATTCCTGGCAAAAGGGTTAAAAAATCGTCTTACATCTAGGTTCAAATCTCAAGTATAACATTCTACCGTCGTAGCTGACAGTGTAAATAAAACTTTATACTATCAGGTCATCTAAAAGTTTTTGTTTTTTAATGCAGTGGCCGGCATCTTATTGTGACACAAGGCGTAGTTGCTGCTATCCCACCACTGGAAAACCAGATGAAGATTTTAGCATCCATGGTCTATGGCCAAACTATGAAAATGGCAAATGGCCTCAAAACTGTGATAGTGAAAGCTCTTTGGATGAATCTGAGGTACTCACATTTTTCAGCTTTAGCTTTAAAGTAGTCACGTACAAGCACAAATTGCTTTAAACTATTAGGTTTATGTCAATATCATCGTCAACTTGCACAAATGGAGTCTTTCATTGTCATCTCCATATATAGAAAAATTGCTCTAACGATATGTATGGACCTAGACACTTGAGTAAATAAAAGACACTCCTACTAAGTTCTTTTTAGGTAATTATATTGACTTGTTCTAATGATATGAGAAATCAATCAATTTTTTTCTATGACTGCAATTTCCTCTTATTATATTAAATATTTTGATTAGTTAATTATATATGCTGACTTATACTAGTAGTACTTTTCACGTACGTAGTTTTCAATTATGTAAATTTTATTTTAATAATTTTGAAGAATTTTGTGCACCGAAACTTAGGTATTTTCACTTAATACGGAGAATACCTACACATAAAATGAAAGGGGGAAAATACTTAAAATAGTTATACATAGGATGATGATGACATTTCAGAATAGATCATATATATGCAGTAACATGCATGCAGGTTGTGATGTTAGGTAGTGTTTTTCTTGTGCTAGAGTCGTGAAAAATTACATCTTCTACTCAAAAGACCAATAATTAGCTGATTTTAAGATGAATTGGCATTATTACTTTTGACAAAAAGTATAATTTGGTACTTTTTGCTTTCCACGTTTCCTTGCTTAGCAATCTTGTTTCAGGTATTTGTACATGGCTGGCATATTGTTGCTTCCAAGGAATGATTTTGTTTCATTGTACTAAAATTTCTATCCATGATTATGTAATAAAAAAAGATTTCAATTATATACAGACATAATCTATTTTTTTCATTACCAGTAAATTTTAACATGTGATATTAGATATCAATTACTCCTAATACTTATCATTGAAATTTACATGTAGTTACCTTATAAATAATCTGCTTGTATAATAACTTTTCTATTATCAGTGCATAAAAATGAATTCTTTAAAATGTTAACCTAGTAAAAATGAAGTAATTCGGTAACTCAATTTATAAAAAGTTAGTGTATATATTCTTGCTCACAGGTTTGTTGCTTAGCAGTTAGCACCCATGTCTACTTGCTTAATAGGTCTGGTTTCTAGGCTGTTAGACATGGTGGGACTTTACCTTTGCTTCTACGACTGTTTTTTATAATACGGACCTAAGATTTGAACTTCGACATCAGATATTAGTAACTAGATTCTGAATTAAATTTCCGTACATGTTTAATGAATTTTTTAATACAAATATAGGATCTTGACAAATGTTATTGAGTTCAGCTGAACCCGGCTGTATATTACCTTATAGCTCCGCCCATGATCATTGGTCATTTTATCCAATATTTTGCTTTAGAATAATGTATACCAAGTAATGCATGCAGTAAAATAATAAATTCTTTTCAAAAAATTATATCATGCAGATCTCAGATCTTATAAGTACAATGGAAAAGAATTGGCCATCATTGGCTTGCCCAAGTAGCGATGGTGTAAGATTTTGGAGTCATGAATGGCTAAAACATGGAACCTGTTCAGCTCTTGGTGAACGTGCTTATTTTCAAGCTGCTCTTGACTTCAGGAAGAAATCCAACCTTCTTCAAAACCTTAAGAATGCAGGTGTGTGTATTTTCCAACTGCAAAATTCCTCTTAGTTAATGTTGCATAAAGATAATTAGTAACCACTGTAAAATAAGATCAGTAACCTGAAAAATAAAGCAACTTATATAGTACAACAATGAATTTACAATGCAATGAACATATTATAATTTCACATTCTATATGAGATAAATAATATCAAGTTTTATGGTATAAAATTTAAACCGGTATTAGCTAATATAAATAATCAAATAATGGATAAATGCAATCACAACTTTAATATCCGAAATAGTATCCTAATCCTAGTAACATACTAGAATGGATTGCTCAGATGGTCAACACACCCTTCGCCTACAACCTCAGGGTCGTTGGATTGAGTCACCAAAGAAGCAATAGCTCCAACAAAAAGGATCAAAGGGAACCAAAGGGAGGGGAATCAAGAAAAAAGAACCCTAGTAACCAAACTTACCCTTGATAGTGTAAATGTATTTTATGATCAAGGCATATAAGCTAAATTCTTTTGTCAATATGGTATAAATATTTTTTTTTTTGAGTCCAACATAACTTTTCATTATCAGGTTATTTAAAGATAATTACAAGTAATTATCTATAATATATTACATTAGTCAATTTGTCACTTAGTAGGTTATGATTTGAAAAATAATGCAAATTAAGTACTTGCTACAACAAGTTAAAAAATATTGACAGTGTAAAAATTCTTGAAACTCTCACAGTCTCGATGTGTATATAAGTTAAATCTTCATTTTAATATATTAGAATATTTCTGCTCTAACTTTATTTTGTGTTTACTAGGGATTACACCAAGGAATGGAGAACATTACACTTTAGAAAACATTAAAAAGGCAATAGAAGAAGGAGTAGGACACAGCCCTTACATAGAATGCAATGTGGATACACAAGGAAACCACCAGATTTACCAAGTTTATCTCTGTGTGGACAAAACTGCATCTGATTTTATTGATTGTCCAGTTTTCCCACATGGACGAGGATGTGGTTCCAAGATTGAATTCCCTCCTTTCTCCTCTGACCATGATGAATTTTAATTCTTCTTTTTTTTTTGTTGGTTAACTTCAATTATTTGATCATATTTCTTGATCTTCTGTTGTATTTTAATTAAAAACATTTCGCATTTGTAATAATAAAAATTCTTGCCAATTAGGTAAATCATATATATATATATATATATATATATATATATATATATATATATATGTGTGTGTGTGTGTGTGTGTGTGTGTGTTAACTAAATGTCAAGTTTTAATTCTTGTATTCAATTTCAATGAACATGGTTCCATCTTCTAACTTGACTAAGTAATTATTATATGTATATTGTCTTTTTTCTTTGGGAAAATGACACTGTAGAGCCGCTCTCAAAATAATAGCCGAAAAATGTATATTTTTTGATATATATATGTATATGTATATATACACATATATACACACACACACACAAAAATTATACAAATTTTATACACTTTTTGGCTATCGAATATAAATAGTTTCTGGCGGGAGGTTAGGCGAAAAAAAGCCCTTTTTCTTTCCCTAACCTTTTCTTGGATTTTTTTCTTTCAATTGTATATGAGTTTTTTAATATTCCCATTTTAATAGAACTGTGTGCTATAAATATAAATATTTCCTTGTCACAATTGTAATACTGTGTTTCATGTTAATAATTTGTTATATTTCTTTTAAACTGTAACAGTTATGTAAAGTTCCCGTATATGGCTCGTCAACCAGTTAAGAGCAGTGTTTAGTTACAAAATATAGCAGCAACGACAATAATGAAAGATATCAATAATTTGCACATAGCGTACTTGGTAATAAAATTATTAATTACCAAAAAGAAGAGACCGATAAATCAAATATCAACTACTAGAGACGCTTTATTTGCAATACAATAAGGCGCTTTATTTGCAAAATTATTAAATTAGACAACTCATTTGTTAAAAGAATACTCCACTAGTTTCTTTCAATTTATATGGCATTCTTTTTTATACATTTTACGTGTCAAAATGTTTGACGCCATTCTGTTTTCTTTTCTTTACAATTTTCATAACTTTGATTAAACTATTCACTCTTCACTTTTATGTGATGTTTGCTCTTTTTCAACCCCTACTTTAATATTTTCTTTCATTTCTATCAATATATTTTATATGTCAAATTAGCATCTTTAAGACTTTAAACTTCATACTCGATTAAAGACAATCTCGTATTATGTAAGGCCTCGGGTTATTGGACTTTTGGTCTAATATAATCCAACTCCCTATGGGGCAGCCTTAATGTATTTTGGGCTTTACCTTTTGGAAAGAAACGAGTTTCTCATTCAAATCCAATCTACGCCTTATTTATGTTGATTTGGAGAGAGAAATTTTGAAGAACTCAAAATGATTTTTTCTTCTATTTCATTCTGTAACTGTTTACAAAATAGAAAATGAATATATATACAAGTAGCTAACTAACTAACCTCCTTACTTGTATCTACACTTATCACACGTGACTAAGAAGGAACATTTACATAATTACCCTGTTCTAGAAGTAACTACAAGCTACTCTAACTATATACTTATGAACAGCCCATGTGATAAAAGAAAGGAAATAATCTTATGAAGGCCCAATAGGCCCAATAGCTGCATGTAACCAGTGTAGCCCAACGTGGCCTTTCATTTAGAAGAAGCCCTATCTTCTCTATCATTTTGTTGTTGTATCTCATCTTGGGTCTGATGAGGAGTCACCGGCAACACCCCCCCCCCCCCTCAAGTTGGAGGGGGCAGAAAGCACGCCCAACTTGCCCAGTAAACCACGATGAAGAGGCCCAGGAAGGGGCTTGGTAAAGAGATCAGCGAGTTGATGGTGAGAGGGAAGAAAAGAGAGAGAGATGAGACCCGCTTGGAACTGTTGCCAAACAAAATGGCAATCAAGTTCCACATGTTTGGCACGCTCATGAAATACGGGGTTTTTGGCGATGTAGATGGCAGCTTGACTATCAGAGTGACACCGGTAACGAGGGAATGACAGAAAGGTCGTCAAGAAGGCGAACAAGCCAGGTCAGTTTAGCAACGACACGCCTCATTGACCGGTACTCGGCCTCAACGGAAGACAAAGAGACTGATGGTTGTTTCTTGGACTTCCAAGAAACAGGACAGCCCCTCAAACTGATAAAAAACCCACTAACAGAACGACGACTATCAGGACAAGAACCCCAATCAGTGTCGCAAAAAGCGAGCAAATCAAGAGAAGGATCAGCAGCCATAAGAGGCCCAAACCAGGGTCACGAAGAAGATAACGAAGACAATGGTGGGCAGCAGAAAAATGAGGCTCTCGAGGGTCTTGCATGAATTGGCTAAGATGCTGAACGACAAAGGAGATGTCAGGACGAGTGTGAGTTAAAAAATTGAGTTTGCCCAAAAGACGACGATAGAGCAGAGGATCAGCAAGAGGAGCCCCAACATCGGCACGCAACTTAGAAGAAGGATCCAAAGGAGAAGAGACAGGGGACAAACCAAGACAATCAAATTCAGTGAGAAGTTCAAGAGTGAACTTGCGTTGGCAGAGAATCAGACCAGAGGGCTCACGAAGCACTTCTATGCCCAGGAAATAAGATAAGTTCCCCAAGTCTTTAATTTTAAACTCATGATCTAGGAATTGTTTCAAATCATTCAGTTCCTGAATATTGTTTCCTGTTAGTAAAATGTCGTCCACATAAACAGCCACCAGAGAAACAGAATCACCACACTTTTTGTAAAAAAGAGAGTAATCATTAAGAGAGTGAGTAAAACCCTTGAAATTGAGAGCAGCAGTCAAGCGGGCATACCACTGCCTAGAGGCTTGGCGATGACCATAAAGATATTTCTTGAGACGACAAACTAGGTTAGGAGCAGGAGGGTCTAGGCCTGCAGGAAATTTCATATAGACTTCCTCATGTAGATCCCCATGTAGAAAAGCGTTATTCACATCCAATTGATAAAGGCCCCAATTCTTCTTGATAGCAATAGCAAGAATGCATCTAATAGTGGTCATTTTGACCACAGGAGAGAAAGTCTCCGTAAAATCAATCCCCTCTCGTTGAGTGTCTCCTCGAATAACCAAACGAGCTTTGAGCCTTTCCACACTTCCATCAAATTTTAGTTTAACCTTGTAAACCCACTTACAAGGTAAAGCTTTTCTCCCAACTGGTAATGGAACTACCTCCCAAGTATCATTGGCCTTCAAGGCATCAAGCTCTTTGGACATTGCTTCCTGCCAACCAGGGTCCAATGCTGCCTGAGAATAACTAGAAAGCTCATGGACATTAGGTAAGGAGTTTAACAGGCTTTGATTAGGAGGAGAAAGTAGATTGGATGAAATAGTAGGAGGAGAATCAGGTGAGAGAAAACAAGAGTGAGAGACATCATTTAGGTGCACTGCTCCACAGATATAGTCAGACAAATAACTAGGTGCATTGTGTTCTCTTAAAGATCTGCGCAAAACATCATGAGAAACACCAGAAGAAGAAGCAGGAGGAATAGAAGAATGAGAAGCAAGTGGAGATGCGGAGGTAGGAGAAACAGTGGAAGAAGTAGAAGGAATAGAAGATGGTGTAGAAGATGAACTAGGAACAGGTGTAGGGAGTGAAATAGGAGAGGAAACAGGACTAGGAGAATCAGTAGTACGAATAGGAATAGAGGAATCAGAAGAAATAAGAGACTGTGGTGTAGAAAAATCAATATTAGAAGAAATAGGAAATAACTGAGAGAAGGTAGTGGTAGGATGTGTAAAAGGAAAAATAGATTCATGAAAAATCACATTTCTGGAGACAAAGATCTTATTGTTTGCTAAATTTAATAGCTTGTATCCTTTCTTACTAGTAGGATAACCAAGGAACACACAAGTGACAGCCCTTGGATAAAGTTTGCCTCTAAGATTAGGCAAAGTAGAAGCAAAACATAAGCAGCCAAAACTCCTAAGAAAAGTATAGTCGGGTGGTTTGTGGAACAATATTTCATACGGAGACTTGTAGTGGAGAAGTTTGGTAGGAAATCTATTAATAAGGAAAGTGGCAGTAAGGAGACATTCCCCCCAATAACAAATAGGTACTTTGGAATGGTAAAGAAGAGCCCTACAGGTTTCCATCAAATGTTTGTGTTTTCTCTCACCAATACCATTTTCCTAAGGGGTCCCAACACAGGTGGTTTGGTGAATAATTCCTTTGGAAGAAAAATAAGCTATGGCAGCAATATTGCTTCCTAGCTCAAAGGCAATACCAGACCTAACTTTCTTGACTTTGACTTCAAATTGTCTTTCTACCATAGATATGAAAGATTTGAGAACAGTGAAAGCATTACTTTTGGTACTCAATAGGTATGTCCAAGTACCCCTACTAAAGTCATCAATAATAGTAAGAAAATACTTAAAGCCATTGTAGGTGGGTTCCTTATAAGGACCCCAGGTATCAATGTGAATAAGTTCAAAAATATGAGAAGTAGAACTTGTGTTGTCTGGAAAAGGTAATCTGTGTTGTCTAGCCATAGGGCAAATGGAACAAGGAATATCTTCTTTACAAATAGCAGATTATGGTAAGACAGAAATATATCTCATGATAGAAATGGGTAAATGTCCTAGCCTTACATGCCACAGATTTTTATCAATATTAACAGAATTAGACATAGTATGGGAAGTGCAATATGTTTGAGAAGAGTTATGTGAAAGTGTAACGGCTTTATTTGTATGCAGGGAATCAGCAGGCTTGTGAGTTGAGTGGGAAAGATAGAGTCCAGCTTTGACATCCCCAAGGACCAGAGGCCTCCTCAAAGAAAGGCCCTGTATCAAACAACAAGTTTCAGCAAAGGTAAGAAGAACTTTGAACTGAGTGCACAGTTTGTTAACTGAAATCAGGTTGAACTTAAAATCTGGGACATAGAGGACTCTGTGTAAAGTCAAATCTGGATATATAGTAACTTGTCCTGATAGAGTTACTCTTACTCTTTGTGAATTAGGAAGGTTAACATTAACAAGATTAGGTAATGGTTTGATGTTAACAATGATGCTAGAGTCAAAGGTCATGTGTTCTGAAGCACCAGAGTCAAGAATCCAAATATGACTCCTAAGATTGTTGTGTGAATAGGAAAGAATAGGCAAGCATGTACCAGCACAATTAGCATTGACATTGGTTTCACAACTTGTTACAG